GCTGAGGCCGGGCTGGACTGTGGCGCAGCCGTGTTGAGGCCAATGCTTGGGGTTTGGGGCGGCATCGTGGGGGGGGTGCAACATCATGGGCTTCATCTCCATCGGAGGCCAAGTCAGGGGCTTCTCTGGATGATTCCTCGAGGATGGAGGAAGGCAGAGAAGGCTGAGGAGGCTCCACCCAGGGAACTCTGTCCTTCCTAGGCCTCTTAGGGGCAGGTTTGGGCTTTTTCTTCGAGCTTGCATCGTACGCTCGAGACCTCTGAGAGGAGGGCAACTTTTGCTTACCAGACGATTTTGCTTTCTCAACAGTGTCCTTAGCTGGTAGCACAGAGGTAGAATCAGAGGTAGACTGGCCTGCTGGAAGCCTATTGGTTGAAAGGGCGGGAGATCTAGCCGCTTCCGAAGATGAAGTAGGAGGATTTATGGCTGTTTGCCAAAGGTAAGACCGAAGTCTTTGGAGCCTCTGTTTTAGTGCCGGCTTGGTTAAATTTTTACAAGCAGGACACGAATGTATAGGATGTTCCTCACCCAAACAAAAAAGACACTGGCTATGCCCGTCCAAAAGTGCGATTTTATTTGCACAGGTCGTACACCTTTTAAAAGGAGACGGAGAGGCCATAAGGAAAGAACTGAGGGGAGGGGAAGGGGAAAGGGAAGAGAATAAAAAGACCGCGGGAAGCCGATTAGGCAAACAAAAGACGCGGAGGATCATTAAGAAGGTAATTTAAAGTAAAGATAAATAAACAAAACCTCAAAGGAGCCTAGAAAAATAGCCAAAAGGCAAATAGCGAAGCGCTCAATCTTTCCCGAGAACCGTTCAGCTCGGCGGAAAAAAGGAACTGGGGAAGATGGTGGGGGGGAGGAGCATATACCTTGTGGAGGATCACACCATAATGTTGTTACTTTTCGCTCTAGAATCTTCCGAGAGAATCAGTGCAGGCGCAGACAATACCCATGTGTGTGCATTCACAGAGGCCACGAAAAAAATTATATGTTCCCTTTTGCCTTTTCTCTAAATCTACATGTGTTATATCCCCAGTGTTAAGTCTAAAAGAATGCCTAAATACAGTATGAAAGAGAGCTAGTGTGATGTAATGGATAGAGTGTTGGCCTAGAACTCAAGTGATTTGGCTCCAAAACCTTATTTGGCCATGGAAACAGGGTGTCTGTATGTGTATTCATAAACTGCTCCTTGAACACGTCAACACAGATATGTAAAGTGCACACACTTTAAAGAAAGCTAAAAATTTATCCTAGGCACTCAGATTATTTTGTACCCAAGCAGCAAGTGCCTACATGACTTGTTGAAGAACAGCCATGACAACTGCCTTATATTGGATGAGAGGTAGCTAAATTATGAAAAAAGAGTCAGGTTCTGGGATTTTCCTTTGCTTGTTTTCTCTGAATGGTAGTGAGCAATATTCCCTCTAAGCTTTATGAGTGCGTGGTCGCACAGCGTTGCATCGATGTCGCACAGCGTTGCATCGTGCGTGGTCGCACAGCGTTGCATCGATGTCATGGACCCACAGCCAGTGTTGCCCATTTGGTCCCAATTGCAGCTGGAACACTGCACACAGGCAGGATCTCCGCCCAGTGCTGGCGGAAAATTAGAGGGAATGTTGGTAGTGAGCGAAAGAGCAGATCCTGTAAACCAGCTGGACTGCTGACATTGATGCCAATATATTGGTATATATGGCCTGGCAACTTTTTCCTGTTGGCAATGTAGGACTGATATTGAAAGGCAATGTCAAGCCATTTCCCAGTGTTTTGAATCATGGAAACAGAAGCAATATTCCACATTCATAAACCAGAGGGGTTTTAATGGATTAAGTATATAAAACAATTTACTAGACACATATATCAAGTTCTACCTTATAACCATATCCCATCTATTTTTGTTTGTTAATTAAAAATCATTGAATCTGGTAAATCACATTACTTTGACAGACAACATAAGCCCTATGTTATCAGCCACAGAGACTGACGAAATGTTAGGAAGAAAAACCTTCGGAACACGGCCAAACAGCCTGAAAAACCTACAACAACCATTGGATCCCAGCCGTAAAAGCCTTTGAGAACACATGTGCCCTAACACTTACTGGTTGCCTTGAATATTACCACATGCCTCTTTTATACTGTGTATGTGTAAAAATATTGCCTAAGTAAACTCACCTGTTCTCTTCTTCAAGGTCTGCAAGAATTCTCTCTAGTTCACCTCGTTCTTCACTCTCTAAAGAAATTAGAATCTGCGCAGGACTTCGTGGCTGACTGAGTGGGGACTCCTGGTTCAAGCTTTGGCAGTAGTGCTGGATTAACAAATGCTCATCATCTCTTTTAAAAAAGGAAAGAAGAAAGAAATTGTGTGGGAGAGGAAGGAATGGCATCAAATTTTCATTTATCATACTTTGACTGGAAGAATCTCTTCAGAGACCCCTTCCAGTGGACCAAATGAAGTTCATTGGATGGTTGCAAAAAATTAAAAAAAAATGCAGAGGGGGGTCCTTAGTGGTTTAGTGTAGCACTTTGAATTGTTTCAGGTTTGTTGTTACTAACTTCAAATAGCTAGAAGGAATCTGTCCAGACTTTTAAGGGTGTAGACACTGAGACTTGAGGCATCTAAAGGCTAATATATTTTATTTGGCAGAACATTTGTTGAACAGAGTTCCCAAGTACACCATACATGCAGAAAGCTGTCTCCACATGACTGGGAACTCTTGCCTCTGCGAGACGGGATAGCTGGGGCACAGCCTGCTGCACAGGTGGTAGCTTTGTTCAGGCTCCTACGAATATGGGCACACTGGGGAGAAGGCTGCAATACAGTTATATACAGGATGAGTTTATTGAGCATCCATAACTCAGTAAGGTTAGGACATAAGAATCAATTTCCGAAATGACTGTGATGCAGGTGACTCTGATGCAGATGCAGCAATATATGCTTTACTGGGACATCTGATAAACCAGTTGGCCCTCCCCCACGACAATGGACCAACAGCTCCTTTAACAAACTTCCTTAAAATAAGAAGGGATTCTCTGCTGTGTCCTACATAAGATGGAAGCCCATTTCATGATATGAGAAACTTCTGCTTGCTAAATGTAAACTTTTTAAAAAAATGTTACATTATTCTTCATCAGGTAACAAAAAATAGTCATTTCTTTTGTAAGACATTTCTGTTTTAATAGGCTTTTGCCTGCTAAGTCTTAAATCCAATGCACCAAAGGCACAGAACTTTCTTTCCTTCTGCAATCCTCACTACTTCCCCAAAACCATCTCAGAAGGGGCTCCCAATCCTCTGAAGCAGGTTTTTGGAAGGCACAGGCTGCAAAAAAGAAGATAGCCTTCTTCAATAGAAGCAGTTTCATTAATGGATATCTCCCAATGAGTTTACTATATATACAATACGTATTGTACTCCTTCAGATGAATTTTATATTATCTTTTTTATCTGTATTCTCAGGCTTTGCTGTATTTCTTTTATTCTAATGTACTTTATGACCCACAGGCTGAAATCCTGTTACCCATGTGAAAGGCAAATGGCATAACTTTCAGTCATTTATAGTTGGCAATTAATTAGTTGCTGTTGGGATTCTCGAGTTGGCACTTGCCTATTGGCACACTCAACCTGTTAATTGCCAGCTCAAAGCAACTGTCATGCTATTTGTCTTCGACATGCATAACAAAGCACACACACAGCTACTGTTTCCTTCTACATAACATGAATTGTTCCATAATTTCATAGAGATGCCATACTTACATGCTCTCATTAGGAGAAATACTATCATTCAGGTATGTTCCATTGGTATTTTCCATTTCTGCTAGCCTAAGGAGGAAGGAAAATATCTTTAATAACATTAAGGGTTCTGCTTATTAAATATGAAAACAGAAATGAGACTTTTGTGATTGTGAAAATCTGCATGATAGATCCTGAAACACTAGCCCACGCACAGACTTTCATTTTTCAGTAGGCTTACATAAATATTAAGTGCAATTCGATATATCTGACATGTAGAAAACTTTAATTTCACCCCTTTTGAATATGGATAAAAATATCCCTGTGTGTGCGCGCATTATATCCACCCATTCAATTTCCCTTAGACATGAACATTTTTTTAATATTGGAACTTAGCCAGTACTCTGTGGATTTTATTTTTTAAAATGTGAATTATAGCAGTGTTGTATTTTTTTTTCAAAGCAGTAGTTTGAAGAATATTCAAGAGCTGAATTATTAAGTTTTTAATTTACAGTCCATGTACTGGAAAGGGATTGCTGCAGGATTCCACTGGAGCATACCTTTGAAAAGAAGATTGTATAATGAAGTTCTGTGTAAAACTCTGGTGTCAGATGTAAGCAAGGACATGCTTTGCATTTTCCATTTATAAACATTCTGAATAACATGCAGGCATTCTACATGCAATTTAGCAGGTAAGCTGATTAGTAAAAATACAGAGCATTGTATAGCATCCATCCTTGGAGTCCACCATGACTTAATGTCATTTCCTACCCTTTGTGGTGATGACAATAATGATTTGACCCTGGCCTCCCCCCCAAAAAGAGAGACCTATTTTAAAAAAGATCTGCCTAACAATCCACCTGGTCTCATACCTGCTAGCATAATGTTCAATGCGTGAATGGGTATCATCATGTGAAAGCTGAGGGGACGAAGCAGGCCTATAAGGCAGAAAAAAACCTGATTAATTACACAAGTAATTTTCCTCAGGAGTGAAAATGCACTTGGCTTCATATCAATATGTCTTGCTAAGAAATGTCCTGTTAAGGTCTGCTTCCTCAAGCTACCTGCAAAAAATATTTATTGGAAATTGAGAAAGATATCTTCAGCAATATGAGAATCTTTCTGAAGTTTCGGGATTATTGAAAGTTTTATATGAAATCAGACGGTTATTTTTTCATTATGGATTTATTGGAAAATATTTTAAAGCATACCTTCCTATCATGTTGTCAATACATTTCCTTATGAAGAGTGTTCTGTTTGTATTATGCTCAGAACATGTCTTCCTTTTTCTTCCAGCTTTCCATTTCTGTCTAGCTACATTTCTTGCTGACAGTATTACAATTCACCATGGAAAATTCTTTATACACTTGAGCCAATCCAACCTTCTGTAAAAGGATTCTTTTTATTTGTGTTTGTGGTCTCACATCAACCAAGACATTCCACAATAGATGACAATATCATAGAAATATAGATGTGGAGGGGATCCCAAAGGTCTTAAAGTCTATCCCCTTGAGGTAGCAGATCTACAGCTGAAGAATTCCTGGCAAGATGGCCATCCAACCTAGATTTAAAAAGCTTCAACAAAGGAGAGTCTACCACCTTCCAAGGCTGTCTGTTCTGCTGTTGTGCATCTCTTACCATCAGAAAGTTCTTCCTAATGTTTAGCCTGCACTAACCCCACAACCCTGCAGCAGTACAAGGGGAGAGCTTCACGAATTCAATGTTTCTCATAGCTCATG